GAGAAAAAAAGATTGGTGGCAGGGACCTACTTAAGAGACTTAAAAGACATATCAATCAACAGCAATTTGTGGGCCTTATTTGGATCGTGACTTAAGCAAAATAACAAAAGCTACAAGAAAATAAACTATTTATAACATTCATGAATCAACCAGAAGTCTGTACACAATTGGTTAAAAAAAGAGAGTCCATACCTTTTAGAGCAACAAACTGAAATATTTACTGGAGAATGACACTATCTGGGATCTGTTTCAAAATACGGCAGGAGTTGGGCGGTGGAGTGGGTAGGGTATATATGGAACAAGATTAGCCACGAGTTGGTGACTGTTGAAGCTCATGTACTGCATTATTCTATCCTGTCTACTTTTGTATATATTTCCAATGTTCCATTAAAACAAAAAAAGACTAATACAGACTTACATCCCAGTGCAAGACAGTTCCTGCTCACACAAACACTACCTACACTCCAGCTATGCAGAAATGGCTACACTGTGCCATTCCCAAACTAAGAAACGCACTCTCCATCCTACCAGACTTTGCATGTGTACCACCCTCCATCCAAAGGATGTCCTCCTATCCCTGTTTGCCCACCATCTACCCCCATCACCGCTCTCAAAGTCCAAAAGGGCCCTCAACAGCCAGTTCAAGACATACTTCCTTTGCACGGTTTTCCCACGTTCCTTGCCCTGTTCATCCATCGTACTGCTTCTGTATTTTTGTTGTATTTGGTTGTATTACACTAGTGTCTGCCTGTGTGCCCAGCTATATATTCACCAACTAGAAGGCAATCACTATATTTGATTTCTTCATTCTTAACTATTCCTCGCCCTTTGTACATAATAGTTAAGTACTGCTGGATTAAACAGAACCAGCTGATTTTTCCCTTACCCCAAATGACTCCTCAAAAAACATTTAATCAGTTAAATAAGAGCTTTTACAATGCATAATTTGAGTGTTTAAATGGGTAATACACTCAGGGGGAGGGTATAGCTCAGTGGTAGAGAGCATGCTTACTTAGCATGCTTGAGGTCCTGGGTTCAATCCCTAGCACCTCCATTAAAAAAAATAAATAAGTAAACCTAATTACCTCCCCACCTCCAAAAAAGAAAATAAACTGTACAAAAGTAAAATAAATGTTCAAAATAAATAGGTAACATACTCAATCAGAAAGTATGCAATGGCACTGAAAAGCACCTCCTTCCCTGTCTGCTTACTTCACATGCCCTGACATAACCATTTCTATGGGTTTTTTGTTCGCCTTTCCAGATGTTTTTAATGCATATTCAGATCAATATATTTTATTTCTTCTTTTTCTACTCAAATGGACACCATAGCATACATATTACTAAATACTTGTTTGCTTTTTTTTTCCTTAATGTCTTGGAGACATTTTTATAAAAACATACACATAAAGGATTTCTTCATGTGTGTGTATGTGTATATATTTTTTCTTTTTTTTTTTTTACAGCTGTATAGTTTTTTTACATAGCCAGTTTTCCACTATAAGGATGTTTCATTATTTATGTAACCAGATCCCTCTTGATGGACAGTCTGATTGCTTCCAATCCTTTCCTATTAAAAGCAATATCACAGTGAATAACCTCTTGTATGTCATTTCGCATGTATTTTAATATATCTGTAGGGCAACTTTCTATATCTCGTACTGTGTGTATTATGGCCTTCTCCGCTTTTCTTCATCAATTAGCTTCTGGATTTTATTTATTAGTTCTCCTTTTGTTGCTTTCTAACTCGTTAAATTCCATTCTCCCTGCATTAATTCCTTTCTTGTGCTTTTTTTCCATTTAATTTCTTGCTCTTTTTTGAACTTCTTAAATTAGTCCTGTGATCTACAACATGAATCATAACAGTCTGAGTCCTAACTCAAAAAGAATCCTGAGCACAACATTGTAAAATGATTATAAGTCAATAAAAAAAGTTGAAAAAAAAAAAAAGAATCCTGAGCAGGTCTTGACTGCTCTGATGCCATTACTTCACTTGGACATAGAAGCAACGATAACAAGTCCCAAGTGGACAAGTAAGTATTCCATAAAACTCACATTAAAAAGCAAACAGGACCAGTCACTCATACAAACTCACAATTTTCCCATTCATGCTCACAATCTTTAAAAACATTTATTAGTCTCCTTAATTCTTACTGCAATAGGCCACTATATTGAACACAGAGTTCGGCAAATTTCTGAAATGCCTTGAATGCACAAAAATTCAAAGTACTGGCTACTTTTAGGGAGTCCTGTTACTTATGGAAATAAGACAAGAACAAATTGCTGCTGTTGTTTAAGTGTATCAAGTATCTGAAATCTTCACCGAAAGAACGTTGTATAAATAGAATCTATTTTAAAATCCAAGCCTCAGAGACTTTCGGGAGAAGGGTAAGATTTGGAAAAAGGGGGAAGAAAACAATACATTCTGAGCATTTACTGTATGCAAGGTACGGTGCTCAAAATGCTTCCACTCACGTCTTTATTAAAATCAATCTGGATGGGCTTCTCTGTTTTTAGGATAAAAAATTTGTTATGTTTACTAAATTGTAAAATCAACAGAGAAAGCAGTGGAAATATATTCTCATAGAGAAACCAAACATTGATTCTTATAAAAAAGAACATAATTTCTGTAGTATGTTCATGAATTATTTTCCAGGACATAGGCTATGAACAATAATGATGAAGAAATCAGTAGCGGTCATTCAAGGCCAAGTTCAAGTCTCAATTCCTCCCTTTTCTCAGTAACTTTCATCAGCCTTAATCTCTTACTCTAGGTCTTACAGTCACAGAAGCACCTAGCATTTGACCACACCCAATTTTGCATTCTAACATGTGCAAATCCAACAGCTTGTCGATCTTTGTGTGTCTAACTCTTACCCCAACTGTGTCACAGGGCCCTTAGGAGTTAAAGGTTCACTTCTTTATAGGCAGCAATGGAAAAACATAAAGCTAGATTTCTACTTCATTCTTTGACACAAAAACTCAAGATGGAGCAAAATGAAAATGTAAAAAAAACTGTAGATGTTCTAGGAAAAACACAGAGGTGAATATTTTTGCAATCCTAAAGCGAAAGGAGAATGACAAATTCCTGAGGCTGAGAGATAAAGGATTTAGTAATTTGACTACATAAAAGTATTAAACTTCCATATAGTAAAAATATTATAGGCAAAATAGTAACACAAAAGGCAAAGTGGGAAAAGTACTTGCTATGCATATTATAAAGGGCTAATATCCTCTCCCTCCAAGGATGACTTTTTTATAGCTCAGTGCGTGACACTCTACAGCACCCAGTGAGAGCACTGGCTTTATTGAGTGGGCTTCTTCATGGGCTGGTGAGGCCTGAGGTCCTTCTGCATGGGTCTGGCTCACACCCAGATACACCTCTATGTCATTATCTTAGACAATCATGGTTGGGTTAGGTAATCTGCATGCCAATTTGACTCAGTAACCAACCACATAAGGAGCTTCCCAGACATGCAAAGATCCAAGTGTTATCAAACATAAAGTATTCTGAGCATCCCACCCCAACCAGTTATTTAAAGAACTAAAGCTTGTTTTACTCGACAGACAAAAGAATATTTCCATCTATTCTGACCGCATATCCTTGAGAATAAAAGTTGAGAGACAGAGGGAGAGAGATTGAAAGAGAACATGAACTCAGGAGCCAGATGATAATGTCCAACATTTGTGTATCAACACGCACCACATCATTTACATCAGGGCAAGAGTTCTTCCCTCTGGTTCTACTGAGAGGCCATCATGGTTTTCTTCACTGCCCATAAACAGAGGGTCTTGGCCAAGGGGTCCGTCAAATGCTGGTGAGTGGTACATCTGGTGTTTAAGTTAGAGAACTGCACACAAAAGCAGCTTCACTCCAAAGTAAGAAAAATGGGCACCTTAGTCTTACTTCAGTGTGTACCTCCCCTCCATTACGCTGCTACCCGTCTCCTAGCTAGGTTACACGTTAAACATAGTGATAGTAATTCAAAGATGTAAAGTACTTTAAGTTCTTGAGAAGAAAACCTAGTTGAAGGGAAGGAAAGGCTGTACTCCCTGATGTCATTCTCCAGAGGAGGGGTTCTGGCGAGAGGCCCTACTGTCTGCTCAGAAGGTCATCATCCATAGAAACATGACCTACTTCTGCTTAAATTTCCAGCCTGTACCGCCTATCAAGGTACTTGTTGGGTTTTTTCTTTTGTTTTGTTTTGTTTTGTTTTTAATTTGTTGTGTGTTACAGAACTACATTTTACTTGTCCTAAAGCAACCTTTTAAAGCTTTAGTAAGTACCTCTTAATAAGTGTTCTAGATTTGGGCTAAAAGAAATACATTTAGCATTCTTTTTCTATTTTTTTGTTTTGTTGTGTTTTTTTTTTATCAGGTTTATTTATTTATTTATTTAATGAAGGTACTGGGGACTGAACCCAGGACCTCATGCATGCTAAGCATGTGCTCTACCACTGAGCTATATCATCCCCTGCTTTTACTATTTTAGAATAATGATCACCTCTCAGGCTCATCTACCTAGTATGAAGAAAATTAAAGACAAGTTCTCAAAATTCTACCTTCAGCCTAGACCTTTTTTCAGAGCTGCACACTCATTTTTCTAGCTGGTTTCAGATATACATAAGACACAATATATCCACAGCTCTACCTGTAAGCCACACATCTCAGTCCTCTACTGATGTTACCTTCCCTTCCTTGTCTTGCCTAATGGTAAACTCATCACCCATAAACCCCACCTTAGCAACCATGTCCTGAGCACTGACCACATGCCAAATGCCAGGCTAAGGGCATCACACACATGACCTCACCGAACCCTCAAAACCCAGGGAAGTGGGGGCCACTGTGATCACTATCCCAGGGGAATAAATGGAGGAAGGACCATGCTTAAATGTCCTACCAGGAAATGTGCCTCATCAATTCTGTTTTGGCAAGCGTTCTCCAGTCTGCCTGCCCCCAACTCCACCGCCCTGGCCTCGATCCAAACCCATCTTTCACTTAGAGACGGTGGGTGTGCCTGCAGTCAGACCGAGGCTGGAATCCCAGTGATGCCACATCATAACCATGGGTCCTGGGATTGACCCCTTTTCTAACTTCTCTAAATGTTTCCTCACCTGTGTGTAAAACAGGGGTACTGAAACCTATCACAGCAGATTCTGTGAAGACAAGAGGCAATGACTATGCCACATAGTAGGCATTCATTAGTAGCTATTATCTCAGTGGGCTCCTTGCCTCCACTGCCTTCACTTCCTAATCTAACTTCCCTAGTTCTTCTCCCCCGCCCCATTCTATTATTGCAAATCGAATCAAAAACTCTTCAGGGACTTCCTACAACACAGGCAATATTTCTATATGATACAGGGCCCCCAGTCATATATAAATGGTTTTAGGTGTCAGGACACCCTAACTTCATGCACTAGAGGCTTACCGGCCACACTGTACTAGCAGAAAACAACAGAAAAGTGAATTATTTAAAAATTCCATTTATAACAGGGTCACAGGGGAGAGTATAGCTCAAGTGGTAGAGCGCATGCTTAGCATGCATGAGGTCCTGGGTTCAATCCCCAGTACCTCCTCTAAAAGTAAATAAATAAATGAACCTAATTACCTCCTCCCTGCCCAAAAAAATTATTAAAAAAAAATTCCATTTATAACAAGGTCAAAAAACAGAAATGCTGAGGACTAAATTTAACCAAAAGGGTTATAATGAAAACTATTCAACAATGCTGAAAGAAATTTTAAAAGTCAAAAATACACCATGCTCATGGACTGGAAGATCAACACTGATGTCAGTTCTCCCCAGATCGATCCATATAGATTCAATGTAATCCCAGAGAGGTTTTTCTGAGGAAATTTTAAAAGCTGATTCTGCATTTTATACGGAAATATAAAGGACCTTGAATAGCCAATCTTGAAAAAGACATTTTTAGACATCACCTCATTCTACTACCAGAATGTGAAAGTTGACAAGTTAGTGCAAGTGAATGACTACTGCTGGACTGAGGTTACCGGCTACTGGAGAGCTGGAGAGGGAGGGAGGCGGAGAGTTTATCTGGAAATTAACCAGAGGTCAGGCTTCTCAGATTAACCAGTTGCTTAGTGGTTAGGAAGTAACAGCCCAGAAGACATTCAATACATATAGAAACACCATCCATTTATGAATGGCTTTTAAAGAATAGTCAATCCAAGAAACCACCCAACTGTAACTCATCCAGGCAAAGAAAGAAAAAAAACAAATACACTGAGATGTTCTTTCGGACACTTACCTGTATTCTTTCTTGCCCTGTGGTAGAGACAGACCCTGAAGTTCTACCACAACGTCCTCATGCAATAAACAATGTGAGACAGGAATGCTGGAGAAAAAAAAATTGAAATTTTGTTTTAGGAGGCAAAGAATAGAGGTCGGTGTCCTAAAATTAAATTCAAAAGATGGATTTTAAACTTAAGGGTCCGTGTATGACTTCCACTGGGTTTGTAAACCCCACACACTTTTATATCCACGTGCATACCTCTGGGGAAAGAGCCCAATTTTCATCTTTTCTCTCTCCCCCATATAGAGTATGACAATAAATGTATCTTTTTCCTGATGACTCAAAAGTTTAAAATTATGCTGTGCTATATGATGACTACACTGTGATACCTCCAGGCTGGGAATTCTCCCCAGGTTCTGCCATCATCCTTTTTCCTTTAATAACCTGTTAGCTGTCACTCAAGTGTTGTTCACATACCTACTCTAGCAACACATTCTCCTAACTTGCTTCATGCTAGCTTGGTATAAGCTTTTAACTTCTCCCTTCTAATTTCTTACTATGAAAAAATTTATGTATAACATTTGAGAGGTTTGAGTGAAGGTCTAAAGTATTCTCACATGACCTGTAGCATTTTCTTTCTTTCTTTTTGCTTATATTCTGGCTACCAGACATATTCCAAATAGGTCAAATTTATCAAATAACCATTTTCAAGTTAAACATAATTGTACTAGTTTTGTAGAGCAGTACATTTTTATAAATGGTACTTTACTTAAGGGCATGTTTCTTTTCATTTAAAGCCCGATCTTATGCTTCCATTAATGTTTAATTCTGAACATGCTTTCATGTCTCATAAAAACCTGAGCTAGGTACTAAACCTAAGAAGCTCTGTAGAAAAGAAATCAGAGTACATAGTAAATCTGACATAATGGTATGTTGTTGACAGCTTGAGTATTTTTGTTTGGTCTCATCTATCTTAAGATTAAACACTGATTTAAATAAAGTCATTTCGTATTTAATTAGTCTAGATCCTAGTAATTTCAAATGAAAAAACAACTTATTGGAAGACTAAGAAAATATTTTCTCTAAAAACTTATCTTGTAAATCTGAAAAAGGGTAAAAATCTCCCACTTAGTTTCAAATCATAAAAATACAAGTAATCTAAATCATGTGGGGGAAACATGAGAAGTTAATATACATGCTGAAAAAATACCGTATTTTCTAGTACTGATATCCATTATGTGCCCTATATGTTATGAAGAAAAATAACTTTTCTCTACCAAGTTCAGTAGAAAGCAGGAAAAAATGCATAATGATGTGACAGTTTAAAACATCACTAGAGACTGTGGACACCTGGTACTGTGAAAACATTAACAACACTTTACAAGAACAGTATTAACTTTCCTGACTTCAAAGGTGCTTAACATTTCCGGGTCTCAGCTTTCAATTTGGTAAAAACTAGAGTGCTGAATCAGATTTCTGCTGTTGCTTCTGCTTTAATCCCTAAAATAACTTGTTTATTTTCATTATAAGTCTCATCACTTAAATGCAGAGAACCCAATTTTTTTAAAGGGGCTGATAAGATGACTACCAGAATGTTTTAATCTAAAATGTTTAAAAACCAGTTTGGCCTAAAACTAGTGCAAAATTGGGGCCAGTTATTTTCTGCTATGCCTGTATGTCCTCACTTAAATGGGGTAGTGGGTAACGTCAGAGCAGGAGAAGGAAGTGGTCAAAGCATGACAGGTGAAGAGAAACCCAGAACCGGAATGGGCTAGAAGTATCCAGAGGTAGCCGATCCTCCATTTTATTGATGAGGAAATTGGCGGCCCAGAGAGGGAAGGAAACCAGCCTTGGGTCACACAGCAAGCAGTAGCGGAGCGTCTCCCGAACATGCCAAGGGCCCTAGCTCCCAGCTCTCTCAGTCCTTGTGGCTCCAGACAGCGGGGAGCCGCGACTTCCCCGGGAGGCCGCGCGCGGTCGCAGGGAACCGTGCCCAGCTCGAGACCTACTCGGTGGCCCGCACGAAGCTGCACGTGTCCGCCCGGCACACGTAGAAGCTCTTTCCTTTATTCGGGCCATGGCGCACGCCAGTCTTCAGGAAGCATAAGGTCCCTGAGGAGAGAAGGTCCACAACGATTACGCCACGCTAGATGGACAGACCCCCAAGGGACCCTGGGACCCTGACCTCCTACCGTGCTCGGGACACCTAACTGCTTCCATCCCGCTCCTTCTTTCCTCTCCCCCGAAGCCACCCCACCCTCAAAGCCGGCTTCCGCCTTTTACTCCGCCCTCCTCATTCAGGAACCAATCACCACCCACCTCCTGTAGCCTTAACCCCCCCATAATCCACCGCCGAGGCCGTAGCCCCATCCCCGCCCTATCACCAGCCAATCAGAGGGGACGTTTGCTCACCTCCAACCAATCACAGCCGCCTTCAGGCTTGGGGCGCGCCAAAATCAAATAAGAGGCGAGTGGGTGGGAGAAACCTGGCCTTTGGCTGGTGGGGTGTGGCTGAGGCTGGAGTAGGGTTTGGAGGCTGGCGGGGCTTCCGGGCCGAGGGGAGAGTTGCTTTGTAGGTCCTGGAAGAGCAAAGAGCAGGACCGTGAGCGGGGCGAGTCTAGCTTGCATTCGTTTAAGAACTCGAGATGGCCCTAGAGGCTGCAGGTGTTACAAACTGCAGAGACGAGCTCTGCAAAAAAGGCTCCCTTCTCCGCCGAGAGCGCCTGGAGCTCCGCGGTCATCTGCGAGCCGGGGCCTGGCCCTGGTGGGCGCTTTGCTGCCGCGCTCGGCCACTGGGAGGGGAGGCCACCGCAGGAGGAGCTACTGGATTTGTAGTGCTGGGGCGGCGGGAGCGGGGGCGAGTTGGGATGCAGGTGAGGGCTGATGCGGTATCCTTTAAAGCTGTGCAGTGAACAAAGTTTGTTATAGAGCAGGCATAAAGACTTCTCTGGGACCCCATGACACAAAGTGCTTACCCGTACACGTCTCTCTTGACACCCTGGTGAAAGGGGCAGCATTTTTAGGACCCCGAGACTCATAAAAATTTGAGTAACTCACCCAAGGTCACAGAATTAGTGAGTGGACCATCTGCAGACAGATGCCCAGGGGACCGCGCAGCTGCCTCCTGTTTGTTCTGAATGTTCGTTCTCTAGGCACTCAGTGTAGGAGACCTGAGTTAGAAGTGTCAATGTGGAAACAACAGGGGAGAAAAAGATTACCTTTAGTGAAAGTTTTATTTTGTACGTTTTTATTGTCAGAGTTTTTCTACTAGTATGCTTTTGTAATATTAAAAACCGAGGATGAAGTTAAAAGAAAGGGAACTATTTGAAATCATAATCAGATCTATTAGTGAACAAAAAGAGCAATAGCAATCAAAGACTTATTGCAAGAGAGATGGCTTCATATTACAACTATTGAGGAACATATGTCCAGACATATGGTGTGGCATGTGCAAGTGTACTTACAGAGAGAGGAGGACAGAAAATCTGCAAGTTCTAGGAAATTTGGGCTCTATGATAAATGTAAATGTCATATAGGAGCCAAAGGAGGGGTGAGAAACCTGAGGTGTCATTTATTTAAAAAGTATTTACTAAATAGCTTTTTGTATGCCCAGTGCGAAGCCTAGGTGGTTGAGAAATATAAAATTCATTCATACACAAAGTTGAAAACAACTATTCTAACCGCAAAGAGCTTGCTCAATATTTGGAGGAGACTGAACTAGCATATACTGAACACTTAAATAACAATGTACAAAAAAATGTAAAATAGTATTTAAATGTCAAGATGAGTGGAGTTAGCCATAAACTCTGTAGGACTAGACGTGTAAGATGTGTCTGGAAGCAAAATGGAGTTGGTTTATACATAACTGTCCCCTCTGGAACACGTATAAATAAACTTAAAGATAGAAAAGGAGCAAAAAGGAAACAAATAACAGGTATTTTCAGTACTATAATTTATAATAGATTGTAACTCTCACACTGAGAGATTTTTATGCACATATTTAATAAATGCTGTATGGGGAAAAGTAGAACATGAATACTGGACTTGCAGGACAAAGGGCATGAGAATTTACTTATTTCTTGAAAAATATCTTTTTGAAACAAAAAGACAAAATCAGAGCCTCTTAAATATCCCATTAAGGAAGAATGTCTTCCTCTGCAAGCATTCAAGCCTGTATCTCAGGTGCCACCCCATGAAAGCATGCGCAGCCAAGACACAGAGAGGGGTAAACACTTCCTCCATCAATTCAGGATGTCCTAGAACAAAATATTTAAGCTCTAGAGGGTTTATTCTATCTAATCACATTCATAAGGCTGAAAAAACAAACAAATACTTTGTGTAAGGTGGCCATAATATTGGCATAAACTATAGTGAGTGATACAGTGTATACTTTTCAAAGTATACACATGTATTAACTTACTTTTAATTCATATCCTTAATTAGCCTGCAGACCCCTGGAAAGCCCTTTGGAGAACGTGCTATTTTGAGTAAAGTTGAGACTGTTTTTCTTTAAAA